ATCTCAGAAAGAGCCATGTCCTTTTTGGACATGGCTAACGTGAGGATTTGTTTTGCCAGAATGGGCAGATATATATTGAGAGATTCAAAAATAATTTTACTTAATGAGGTAAGGTTAGTAGCGGGGGACAGATTATTAAAAAATACTTGTTTAAAAATAAAAGGTGCAAAGAACAAGTCACAATGCATTGCCAAATAAAAGAGTAATGTTCTCGTTAAAAAAAAACAGAGAAAATATGTGATTACAAAAATGTAAAAATACTCAGCAATAACAAAAGACTAGGCTAGAATACATGGTGGGGACCTTGGTAGATATTGTTATAACCACGTCACTGATATTTCTTGTTCAGTGAGTTGATTCATTTCCCTGCAGAGGGAAAAGACAAAATGTGGAAAAATGAACTAGGAGTCATTCAATAATAATTTATTAAACACCTACTATATGCTAGCACCTATTAAGTGCTGGGGACACAAAGACAAAAGACTCTCTCTTGCTCTCAAGTAGTTTAAGAATCAAAGTAAGCTAAGCATGAGGAAATGAGGGTTTGGACTTTGTTAGTGACATGATGTATGTTGGATCATCAATTTTCAAAATATTGTAAAGGGAAAATCAACAGGACTTAATATGCAGTGTACTGTGAGAGAGATGTCCAAGGTTGCAGATTTTTAAAATAATACCATAAAAAAAACCAAATCTTTATATTTCAGCTAAAAGTACATCTATTTCCTAGATAGAAAGAGAGAAGTAAATAAAGTATTTTTTAAGTGCTTTCTGTGTACCATTCACTGGGAATAGAAATACAAGCCAAAAAAGATAGATTTTACCCTCAAAGAGTTAACGTTCTATTGGGAGAAGACAAAAAAGGAATCTGGGGAAGGGGGTAGGGAAGGGTATCCAAGTGGGGATAAGGTAGAAAAGTCTACAGAATAAATAAATAATAATTCTCACCTTTACCCTTACTACTTCTTCTCTCCTTTATATCGCCTCCCCCTTTTCTTTCCCCTTCTCTCACCTACTGCCTATAAGTTAGATTTCTATACCTACCTAAGTATGTTACTCCTTCCCTGGTCCAAATCTGATGAGAGTAAGCTTCAAACAATGCTCATCTCCCTCCCTTCTTTCCTTCTACTCTAATATGTCTTTGTTGCCTCATAATGTTACGTAATTTACCCTTTTCTGCCTTCTCCTTTCTTCTCCCATTACAATCCCTTTTCACCATTTAATAAGGTTTTTCATCGTCATATCAAAGTCAACTTATACCCATACCCTCACGCGTATCCCTTCTAAATGCCATGATAAAGATACAATTCTCAAGAGATACAAGTATCATCTTCCCATGTAGAGATGTAAACAGTTTGCCCTCATTGAATAATATGTTTTGGGTTTTTTTTCTTTTTATCTTTTTATGCCTTTCTTGAGTCTTATATTTGAAGATCAAATTTTCCGTTGAACTCTGGTCTTTTCATCAGGAAAGTCTGGAAAACTCCTATTTCATTGAATGTCCATCTCTTCCCCTGAAGATTATGCTCAATTTTGCTGAGTAGTTGTAATCCAAGCTCCTTTGCCTTATGGAATATCATATTCGAAGCCCTCCGATCTTTTAATAGAAGCTGCAAGGTGCTGCATAATCCTGACTGTGGTTCTGCGATATTTGAATTTTTTTTTTTTTTTGGCTGCTTGCAGTATTTTCTCCTGGACCTGATAATTCTGGAATTTAGCTACAATATTCCTTGGCAATTTCAATTTGGGATATCTTTCAGGAGGTGATTGGTGGATTCTTTTAATGACTGTTTTACCTCAGGGCAGTTTTCCGTGATGATTTCTTGAAAGATGCTTTCCAGGCCCTTTTTTTGATCATGGCTTTCAGGTAGACCAATAATTCTTAAATAATCTCTAGAATTTTCTATTCTAGAAAATAGAATCTATTTTCTAGGTCAGTTTTTTCAATGAGGCATTTTACATTTTCTTGTATTTTTTCTTTTTTTTTTTTTTGACTAAGCAATGGGGTTAAGTGACTTGCCTAGGGTCACACAGCTAGTAAGTGTCAAATGTCTGAGGCCGAATTTGAACTCAGGTCCTCCTGACTCTAGGGCCGGTGTTCTATACACTGTGCCACCTGGCTGTCACTATTTTTTCATTCTTTTGATTTTGTTTGATTGATTCTTGATGTCTCATAAGAGTCATTAGCTTCCAGTTGCCCAATTCTAATTTTTAAGAAATTGTTTTCTTCAGTTAGCTTTTGTACCTCCTTTTCCATTTGGCCAATTCTGCTTTTTAAGGAGTTGTTTTCTTCAGTGTGCTTTTTTCCCCCCATTTTGTCAATTGTATTTTTAAAGGGATTGTTCAGTTTTTCTTCTGCCTCTCTTATTTGACTTTTAAAATCCTTCTTGAGCTCTTCCGAAATAGCTTTTTGGCTTTGAGACCAGTTCATATTCCCTTTTGAGGTTTTAGATTTGGGTATATTGGCAATGTTGTCCTCTCCTGAAATTGTGTTTTGTTCTTCCTTGTCACCATAATACTTCTCTATGGTCACTGTTTTTCTTTGTTGCTTTTTGCTTATGATGTTTGCCTTTTTTCTGGCTTTTAAAGTTGATCTCTGCTTCTTGGACACAGGGTGCACAGTCCCTCGCTTCTTGTGCTTGGGGCTAGGGGCCTGGTTACTGATTTTGTTTGCTGGGGCCTCAGGTGCTGGCAGCTGCAGTTTGTAGGGGTCTGGTAGCTTACCTGATGTTTAGTTGGAGCTGGTGGTGGTGGTTGGTGTGTGTCTGGTATTGGCATTTGCCTACTCCACCACCCTGCGGCTCAGAATTTCCTGCTGCTTGGTGAGATGGGGCTTGCTGCTGGCTTGCTGGGACACCTCCTGTCCTGTGCTGGTTCCCTTTAGCCACAGCAAGAGGAATCTCTTGATTCCTGAGTTACAAAACTGCTGTACCTCATCTTTCTTCTGTCTCCACTATTCTAGGATTTTTCCTGGGAAATATTCTCTAAGTTTTTCAAGGTCAGTAAGGGAGTATGAGACCAACTTACTGCTTACTCTGCCATCTTGTCTCCTAGAAGTCTTGTATCTGTATTTCTAATCAGTTCCTTGTTCTTTTGTTTCTCTAGTGAGTTTGCCACACTGTGGATTCAGGTTTTTCTCTTCTGCTGCTTGTTTCTATTTTTATTTCTCTTTTAAACAATTTGGGAATGTTATACTGTTTTCTTTGGAATTCTCTGGAAATACAATTTCTTTGGAATCCACAGGATCCTTTTCCTCATCAGATGTTGATTCTTTTTCCATTGTCTTAAAATATTATTCATAGATGTCTGGAATTGTTTTGACAATATGGAGGACATATTCCTTTAGTTATTAATATCTTCTCTTGTTTTGCTTGCTTATGCTCACGTTCTTAACAGTTTTCTTCTGATTTCTCTGATAATTTTAGTTTTCTTTTCCACTCATAGTCCCTTATTGCTTACTTTCTCTCTTGTTCCCCTTTGATTTCAATATCCCTTTGGGCTGTATCTCAAAGCTGTCCCAGTGTTCTTCTGTGCTAGAGAATTCATGTTTCACCATCCTCAGTCTCTGCCCCAAGTGATTTCTGGGGGGACAATTACCCCCAGCTGGATGCCATTCCCTTTTACCTCTGGCCTGGTATAGTCCCACACAGTATCTCAGTTCTCTTTGTTCTTAGTTCTGTGACTGAGGTTTGTGGTAGTCTTGCCAGAGTGTGGTGGCCTTTTGTATATCAATTTTCTACATTATTTTCACATCCCATTATTTCTCTGATTTTCAGGCTTTCTTTATAAATATATTGGGATTACTAATTTATTGTCTAATCTTTTAATTGATCATCTCTGTTTCTACTTTGATCATGTTAGTTTTCAGAGATAAGAATCTTTGAGGACTGCTTGAATAGTGTCCTGTAAATTTTGATGTTATTTCATTGTTACTGATTTTTTTGCTTCTATGTTTATTATTTGATGCACTAATTATTTAGGATGTCTTTCTCCATTTATGTTTTTTGCTCATGTTTCTTTTATTTTGACTTGTTTTCTTATTTATCTTTCTCTTGTTTACATCTATTTTTCAGAAGAGAGTATTAAAGTCATTATTATGTTTTCTTATTAATGTCTTTTTGTACAATTTTTGTTTTAAAAAATTGGCCACCATGTTGTTTGGTCTATATTGCAATTTTTTCATTGTGTATTATACCTTTTAACATAATCCTATTTTCCTGTTTGTCTTACCTTTTTCAATTTTTATTGTTGCCTAAGTTGCTTATTTATTTGCATATTTATATAATCACCTCTGAAAGCTTTGTGATGGGCTGTTAAATATTAATCCTTTGATAATTATGAAATGACTATTCCTTCTCTTTTTATCAGTTTTATTTTAACTGGTAAGGGAAACCTTTTGGGACCATGTTCTTATTTGTTATTGATAAGCACTTGGATTAAAAAAAAAAACTACTTACAGTTTTGGGAAAGCAGTTTTGCCTGTATTTATTATCTTATATATTTTTACTTATCCAGGTGTCATTTTTACTTGAAAGGAAGAAAGGGTGATTGGCAGTGGGGCACTAGAGTTTTAACCTTCCCCAGTTTCTCTTTCAGTTCTTTTGTCTCACCAATATAGTAATGAATGCAGTTTATATCAGTTAGAACATATTGAAAAGTAATCTCCAAAAGAAGAAAACTCATGGAATGTGAAGATGTTCATGTTAAGAATTTATCTGGCTAATTTACATGGGACTCAATTAGACCATGGACTTATTCAGGTTTAATTGCCTACGTAAATCTTTATTTTAATTATAGAAAATGAGCTTTTATAAGATTTTGTTTCAAATAATTTATTCTTGCTCTCCCCCTGCAACATGGAAGACCATTTCCTAGTGTTATTTTCTTGAGAAGTTTTAGGGTAAGAATTTTACAGTGGCTGAAAGTAGATTTTACTGTAATTTAAAATTTAAAAATGTATTTTCAATAATTTCAAAAGCATTTTTGTTTTCCTCTGGTAGGCACAGGTATTTAAGCATGGAACACGGGAAAGCTGTTTACCCTATGGTAAGTATCATTTTTATGGTTGAGTGTTTTTATAATTAAGATGATTGGATGAGGCTTCTATTTACAACATCATGGAAATGAATAGTTTAAGTTAATTTTGATTACATTCTTCTTATTTTGAGAATGTATGGGTGTTTTGAAGTTGAAATTGTTTTGAAATTTTATACCTTATACTACTACCAAAACTTTTTTTTTCCAATTCCTCTGAAAAAATTTTAAAAACCACTAATAGCATAGTAACTTTCAAATTGCTTTGCTTCTTTAAAAAAAAAATTAAACTTTTTTCCATGAACCAAAATTAATATTTCTTCTCTCAGCCCTCACAATTGGAAAAAAAAGAAAAGAAAAACAGAATTTTTGTAACAGATATGCATAGTTAAACAGAACAGATTTCTTCATTGTTCATATCCAAAAGACATATATTGCATTCTGCACTTTGAGCCCATTACTGTCTCTTAAAAGGTGGATAATTGTCTTATTTGTTAAATGGAGCATGAAGAGTTGTGTAAGGCCCATCTCTTTAGGTTTTTATTCCTCTTCTGGTTGCACTCCTCACTGTCTGGACTTTTTCATCTTCTAAGCTTAACTCTGTCCTTAGACTTCACACAATGGAAGTATCCTCTACTCGTTTTGCCTCTCTTTCTGATTGGCTGGTTCCTGTCAGAACCTCATTTTAAGGAAGAAGCCCGGCCAGCCATGTCTTTATTCTTCTTCAGGCTGTGCTCCTGACTCTCCCAGAACTGCTGTATAATGCTCCCCTTCTAGGTACCTCCATCTCCTTCTCTCTGACCTCCCTTTTCAGCTTTTTTAAAAATTATCTTCCTCCACTAGAATGTAAACTCCTTGAGGGCAAGTATCGTCTTTGTTTCAGTCTGTGTTTGTGTTTTCCCAGTGCTTAGCATAGTGCATGACACATAGTAGTGCTTAATAAATGCTTGTTAACCTATAGAAAGATCTCAGGGCTTTCTAGCCACTATATGACTGCTTCTGTATCTCTCTGCCTTTCTAATATATTTATACATATTTATATTATCATTAGGTATTACAGTTATCTCTGTGTATGTTATAACCTCCCTAGTAGACTGTTTGCTCCATTAGGGGAGGAACCATAACTTGTTTTAACTTTGTGTCTCACCCCAAGCCTACCCTAGTAAGTGCTTATACAGTATTCCTGCTATGGTCTTATAAGTGAGGAATATTGCTAAGTTCATTTCCATTCAACAAACATGTGTCAAGCATCTATAGTGTGAAAGATACTGTGGATACAAAGTAGAAAATGAAATAGCCCCTATTCTTAGAGAGTTTATGTTACAATGGTGAACTGGATACTGCTTCTTTTAATTCATTCTGCCCTCAGTAATGAGTTAGGTCTATGTGAAAAGATTATAGAACAGTACAAAGTATACATTTTTTTTTCTTCTCTATCTGTTATTTCGTCAGTGTAGAGTAGGGGTCAGCAAACTATAGTCTAAAAGTAACCTGGGACACAGAGAAGTTAAATGATTTTCCCAGGGCTACGTGTGTGTGCCATGTGGAGTTTGAACATCTGTCATCTAGGCTCTGAAGATGGCTCTCTAATAGTTATGCCATATTTCCTCTCCCTAATCTTCTATAAAGTATTAAATGAAGAATAATTAAATGCCATAATTCAGACCACATTTTCTATGGTCAGTCAGGAAGGTGAACAATTGGTATTACATTATCAGGGAAAAGTTTTATGGAGGATGTGAGGCTTGGGTCTTGAAGAACCTATGCTATACTATACTATACTATGCTATACTATACATTCTGTAGAATTTAGAGAGATAGAAAGAAGGAAGGGGAGAGCATTCCAGACAGAGCAAACACTGTGACCATAGCTGTTGTGGGGAGAATAGATATATTAATATATAGTTTGTATTAGGTAGTGATAAAAAAATAAGGTTGTATGAGCCATGTTTCACTGGAATTCAGTTCAGCAAAATTCATTTGAATTGACATTAAGTAACTGTAAGTTAGTGCTTTATGAAACATGCATAAGGAAACGAATTTAAACTTATACCATTATATGACACACGCAAAAAAAAAACCTTTTAAAGGCTATATATAGATTTATCATATTCTAAGTAAAGATTATTTGGAAATTCGCATAACCAGTGATTTCTGCCAAATGTTTACTAGTACATGCTCTATTTTGCAGCTTCCACTGTGCTCGTGTGCCTTGATAACTGTAAGCTCTCAGAGAGTAACCATACTCTTCTCCGAAAACTTGGTGTGAAACTTGTTCAGCGACTTGGATTGACTTTTCTTAAGCCTAAGTTGGCGAAGTGGAGGTTAGTTGACCTTTGTGGCCTTTTTCTTTCCTCAGTTTTGTTCATTTGATCACAAAAAGCCAAATATATTATAAAGAAAGAATGGTGGAATGTCTTGAATAGTAAAATATATTTTAAAGATTAAATGGTTTTAAATATTAAATATTTTTCTATATAAAGCTGAATGCTATCTCCTAAGCATTTTAATAAATATTATCTACTCTCTGAAAATCATTATGTTAAGACCTTTGGGATGTACAAAACAAAAATAGTCCTGTCCTCAAGGAACTCATGTTTTATTGAGAAAACTAAAATAAGTAAATACTAGCCAAGTCAGAGGTGAGGAAAATACTAACAAGTGTTTGGATTAGGGTAGACTTTGAGTAGGAAGTGGCTCTTGAGCTCAGTCCAGAAGGAAGTTATGAATTCTGAGAAACATAGGTCCTTTCAGTCATGGAGGACAATTTGTGTAATAGAATGAAGACTGGAGATAGATGTTGAGTCTGGGGAACAATTAGAAGTTCAATTGGGCTGGAATTTAGAGTGTTTGAAAGGAAGTACTATGAAGTAAATCTGGTACTGTGGATAAGGGAATATTGATTGATTAAAATGGCAAGGCTATATGTTATTTATTCTGGAGGCAGGAGGGAGCCCCTAAATATTTTTGAGAAAGGGAGTGAGATTGTCATATTTTGATCTCTGAGGATGGAAGTAGGGAAGGCAATTAAAAGCTAAGGCAGTAATCCATGTAAAAACTGATAAAGGTTTGAAGCAGGATGATGGCTTTGTGAATGGAAAAAGTGGGACAAAAAAGGAATGTTATGAAGGTTGAATCGGCAGTATTTAGGAAATATTTAGTATAATTGAACTGCCCAGTCCAGGTGTGGGTGATGGACTGAGAGAACAGGAGAAGATAAAGAAACTTGTAGTTACAAAAAAGATAAACAATATAGGTTTTTGAGGAGTGAGGCAGAGGTAGAGATGGAAGCACAGTTATATAAGAAAGAAATTTCAGAATTCATCATCATGGAAGCATGGATCTTAATAGTCTGTGTGGGATGGCTGAGGTAGCATGAAGATAATGATCGCAGGACATGAAGTGGAAGACTCTATGTGAACACAGAAATCCCTGAGTTATGAGGGCAAGCAGAGGGGGTTGAGAGGAACGCTGAGCCAGGTTCTCAGTTCCTTGAGAAAGCATGAGAGAACGTGGGCTAGAATCTTATTAAGGAGTATAATGAAGATCTGGATATGGTGAAATAGATAGTGTGAACCTCCAAGAAGTTGCCGAGTGATGGCAAAGGTATGGTCTAGAGGTAGAAGTGAGTAACATTCCTCCTGATCCATTATATTCATGTTCATGAAAGCTGGAACACCTAGCACTTGAAAAACGTTTCTAGGGATGAGTGGTTCAGGAAAACCTGATACTATAAGAAAAAATAAAATTGATTATATTTTAACAGACAGGATATGGCTCATTACTGATATGGGAGTCATTCCTGAACCATTTGTCTGTCTATTTTAGGCAATCACTTTCTTAGAGTAAAGATAGAAATCAAAGCTGGAAAAGAGAATACCAATGAGAAAAAGGAACAATGTGGACAATCAAAAGAATGCAGTCATATAATTTTGTTTGTAAAATCTTACAGAAAAGGATGTTTCAGAGAAATAGTATTGGTTCACAAAACAGCAGCTGTAGAAATTAATAATAATTTAAAGAAGTTTGGAAAGAGACCCACCTTTGCGTAATTTTTCCTAGGAAATTTACAGAAAAAGTGAAAAGACAACTAAACAGAAGAAAAATGAAAATAATCTGCAAGGATTTTTTGTCATGAAGGAATAGAATCACCACACCAGACTGTTAAAATAGTGCTTAGAGCTTGATGTGTTCATAAAGGTGACAGTCACAGCATTAAAAAGAACAAAGATGGCAAACGGTGCTGGACCAATGTCTAAATATTTATAGAAGGGGTCTCTGCTAGAGCTGAGAAACTTTTGAAAGCATTGTGAGATTGATTCACAAGGTATCTGAAAGAAAGGAAGATATCAAAGGTATGGAAAACCATCCAGCAAAACTTGAACAACTAGTGACCTAAAAAACATTTTCATGAGAATTTTCTATACACGCACATTAAGGGCATTCTTGATAATGGTATTTGTAGATATCAGGTAGTGATATTCCTTAGTAGATCATATTTTGACTGTTACAGTTGTCTAAAACATGTAGAGAATGCCAGATACCTCTGAACTTACTCTTTTTGTTTCTTTTTTCCATTAGCAAAAATTTATGTTGTTTCCTGATACTCATTTGAAAAAAACAAAACAAAACAAAACCAAAAACCTTTTTAACATATATAGTCAAACAAATTCTCAAATTGTACATGTCCAGAAATATATGTCTCATTTTGTATCTTGAATCTACTACTTCTTTGTCAAGAATTAAGTAGCTGATTCTCTGGAGTCATAGTCATGAATTAATCAGAGATCTTAAGTCCATGAAAATAGTTTGTTTTTACATTGTTGTTGTTGTTTTAATTGTTCTTCTGGCTCTCTTCACTTTGCTCTGAATCAGTTCATACAAGTATTCCCAGGCTTCCCAGAAACCATCCCTGTTTTCATTTGTTACAACACAGTGTTATTCCATTAAATTAACTTCTCATAATTTATTTAGCCATACACTAATTTATGGATACTTTCATGATTCTTAGTTCTTTGCCACTGGAAAAAAAAATTGCTATGAATATTTTTGTTCATAGAAGTCCTTCCTGTCTTTTCTCTTTGGGGTATAACCCTATAGTAGTAGTATTGTTGGGCCAAAGGATAGTGAGTTTTGAAATTGCTTGCCAAAATGGCTATACCAGTTAGTTCTGACCTCTACCAGACAGCGTATTGTTTGTTACATGACTTACAGGCTTATATTATTGGAAAAAGTTTATTTCTGCTACTCCCTCATTAGGTAATGTTTCCTTGTTCCTCTTATCAGTAAGTCAGTCAACTAGCATTTATTAAGCTCCAGCTTTGTGCTGGGTACTGTAGTTAGTGCTGGGGATACATAGAACAGGAGAAGATAATCCCTGTTCTGAATATGTAAACAATTACATACACAATTGTTATATTCACGACAAATTGGAAAAATTAACAGAGGGAAGGCACTAGCAATAAGAGAAATCGGGAAAGGCTTCTTGTGGAAGGTGGGACTTTTGCTGAGACTTAAAGAAATCCAAGGAAGCCATGAGATAGAGGTGAGAAGGGAGAGATGTTCCAGGCATGGAGGACAGACAGTGAAAAGGCTTAGAGCCAGTAGATGGAGTTTTTTGTGCTAGGACGAGCAAGGAACTCAGTGCCATTGGATTGTTGGATAAGTGCTGGGATATAAAGTTTAAGCTTGAGAGGTAAAAAGGGGCTAGTGGAGGGCTTTATTAGCCAAAGAGGATATTGGATCCTGGAAGCAGTAGAGATTTATTTGTATTGGGGATTTATTTGAATGGGGGAGTGACATGATCAGAACTGTGCTCTATAAAGATAAATTTGACAGTTGAAGGGTGGATGAACTTAAGTCAAGGATACCAATGGGTAGCTAAACAATAGTTTAGGTATGAAGTGACGGTTGCTTTAACAGATGGTAGAGATGGCAGAGGAGAAAATATAAGATGCTATGAAGGTAAAATTGAGAGGTCTAGGAAACAGATTAGATATGGGGGGATGGGATGACATAGAAGGAGGAACTGAGGATGATATCTAGTTTGTGAGCATGGGTGACTGGGAGATGGTGGTACCCTTCATAGTAATAGGGACATTAGGAAGAGGGTAGGTAGATTTTAGGGAAAATGTAATGAATTCAGTTTTTGACATGTTGAGCTTAAGATGTCTACAAGAAAATCTAGTTGATACACTCTTCCGTCTAACTTTTCATGATAATGTACTTTCCTGGTTCTCCTCCTACCCATCTAATTGATCCTTCTTAGTCTTTTTTGATGGGTCCAGTAGGCATTTTGAAGATTTTGAGACTGGGGATAAGAAGAGAGATTAGGGCTGGATAAATAAATCTGAGAGTCGTTTGTATAGACATGATAACTGAATATTTTGGAGCTGATGAATTCACCAAGTGAATTAGTGTAGAGGGAGAAGAAAAGAAGGCCCAGGACAGAGCTTTGGTGGAGAGGAACGCCCAGGGTTAGGAGGCAGGAATGATGATCCTGGAGAAAATAAAGAGTGGTTACATAGGTAGGAGGAAAAGTAGAAGAGAAGTTTCAGAGGAGAGTATATTCAAGATGTAGTCAATAGCATCACATGGATGAAAACTAAGGAAAAGTTATTTGATGATTCAGTTAAGAGATTACAGGAAACTTTTGTGTGTCTTGGCAGACAGACAGTTTTATTTGAGTCGTGAAGTTAGAAGCCAGATTATAAGGGGCTAAGAAGTAAGAGGAAAAGAATGAAGATGTAGCAAAGGAGACTGAGATGAGGTAATCATACAAGTAGGAGAAAAAGGCAAGAGCCTCATTAGGGAAACCTAGAAAGAAGAATGTATCAAGTATAGTGAGATGATCAACTGTGTCAAACATTGTAGAGCAGTTAAGAAAGATATGTATTGAGAAAAGGCCATTAGATTTAGCAATTAAGTAATAATCTGTAATTTTGGAGAGAGTACTTCAGAGAGAATAATGAAGGGTGAAGAGGGAGCTCTTGATGAAAGACTTCAATTTTTTTCAGTGAAATAACATACAAGGTACTCAACTGGGAGTGGGGAGTATAGTGAACCATAAGGGCTTTGAGGAAGGATGAAAGGATTGCGAAAAGCTGCTTTAGTGACTGGGATGATAAATAAATTAAGAAATTGTAAAAGGATTGTCTTGCTACAGAGAGGGCCCAATTGAAATTATGCATCACAATTTTGTAGTAAGCCAGTCAGCACAGTGTCATGATTTTCTCCAGCTTCATTCAGCAGTATATGAGTAGGGTGTAAAGGTAACAGATGGTGGTAGTACTTTAAGACTCAGGTTTGGCAGAGCAAGATTGAC